GGGGGGGCCTTTCCAATACATGCCCCAGAGACATGTATCTCATCGCATCCTTACTGGAAAGCCCCCGACTCAGGGGACAGGCTCTGACTTTCTTCCCTCCAGCTTCCTCGGCCTGCAGGGCCCCTTTACCTTTGTGCATAGACCCAGGGCTGGAAACAGCCCCTCTCCCCGGTTATTGCTCTTGAAGTCTCACAATTTCTCAGCCAGGCTCCTGCCGTGGGGCCCTGACGTGTGACAGGGCCGTGCCAGGCTGGGGACGAGATGCTGGGGCTGCAGGCTGTGCCCAGTAGCAAGCCATGGCCTGGAAAGCCGCGTGCGGGAGCTCTCCCTCCCTCCCTCCCTCCCGCTGGCACTGGAGAAACACTGGGCAAGCTTCGATAGAGAGCCTCTTCCCCTCTGCTGCTCTGGGAGCCTGGCTGAGCTGCCAGCCTGATGTGCCAGGCCAGAGAAGGAGCCAGCTGGGCTCCCTCCCCTCTAGCTGCTGCGTGGCTGCCATGCTGCTGGCCGCTCTGGCTGCTGCGTGGCTGCCCTGCTGCTGGCCGCTCTGGCTGCTGCGTGGCTGCCCTGCTGCTGGCCGCTCTGGCTGCTGCGTGGCTGCCCTGCTGCTGGCCGCTCTGGCTGCTGCGTGGCTGCCCTGCTGCTGGCCGCTCTGGCTGCTGCGTGGCTGCCCTGCTGCTGGCCGCTCTGGCTGCTGCGTGGCTGCCCTGCTGCTGGCCGCTCTGGCTGCTGCGTGGCTGCCCTGCTGCTGGCCGCTCTGGCTGCTGCGTGGCTGCCCTGCTGCTGGCCGCTCTGGCTGCTGCGTGGCTGCCCTGCTGCTGGCCGCTCTGGCTGCTGCGTGGCTGCCCTGCTGCTGGCCGCTCTGGCTGCTGCGTGGCTGCCCTGCTGCTGGCCGCTCTGGCTGCTGTGTGGCTAAGGCCGGTGCTGGCCGCTCCGATAAGTGGAGGTGCAGTGCATGGGCGGGTCGGCGTGTGGAGGAGCCGGGGAGGGTCTGTCTCTCGGTAGGGCGGCGTGGGGATGCAGTGCGTGGGTAGGTCGGCGCGGGGAGGAGCCAGGGAGGGTCTGTCTCTCAGCAGGGCGGCTTGGGGACGCAGTGCGTGGGCGGGTTGGCGTGTGAGGGTATGTCTACACTAGCTCGGTAGTTCGAGCTAGGTAGGCAAATGAGGGCAACCGGAGTTACAAATGAAGCGTGGGATTTAAATATCCCGGGCTTCATTTGCATCTTCTTGGGCGCCACCATTTTTAAATCCCCCTTAGTCCGAACTCCGTGCCCGCGGCTCTACGCGGCACGGAGTAGGTAGTTCGAATTAGGCTCTCTACTAGAACTACCAGTACACCTCGTCCCACCCAGCTAGTGTAGACGTACCCTGAAGGAGCCAGGCCGGAGCAGGGTCTGCTGCTCAGCAGCGCAGCATGTGCAGATTCTGCTCCGACTGGGCCATGCAGCAGGGAGGAGACCCAGCTTCGGGTGACTGTGGCCTCGGTCACACGGCAAGGCTGGGCCATTCTCATTGGCTGTGGCAGGCACCCCGTGCCGCTTTGAACCCCTTTCCCTGCGCACAGCCCCTGAGGGAGGCCTGTGGGGAGACAGGACTCCGTAGGCCGGGCTGAGCTCAGCCTGCACCACAGACTGTGGCTGGCAGAGGTGCTGTAGGCCGGACGGTGGGCTGGGGGGCCAAAGAGGGGCCTCCCAGGTGCTCTTAGCGCCGCGCTGGCGCTGGTTTCATCAGGTTGTCCAGCCGGGTGTGGCGTGAGAGCTGGGCCAGAGCTGGGCGGAGCCAGGCTGCGTCGAGGAGCCCAGGACGGGCAGTGCAGGCGAGCTGAGGGCTCGGGCGCCCGTGAGAGACCAGCCCCTCTACCCTGGAGCCGTTGGCAGCAAGGAGCGCCGGTTCCACAGGAGCCACTGCTCTGGGCCTGGTTCCTAGCCCTTGAATCACCCTCGCCAATGTCTCCACGTCTTCCCGGAAACGCGGGGCCCAGGCCTGGACACACAGCTCCAGCTGAGACCTGATCAGCCCGGAGGAGAGTGGGAGAGAGACTCCTCGAGTCCGGCTCCCCACACGCCTGTGAATGCCGCCTGGAGCCGCGGTTGCTTTATGCAGCGGCGTCAGGCTGTTGGCTCGTGTAGCTTGTGGGGCACGCTGACCCCTCGCTCCCTTTCCGCAGGGCTCCTCCCTCGCCAAGCTCTGCCCTCTCTATGTGCGCGACACGGATTGCTTCTGCCGTGCTCCTTGTTCCGCTTCATCCTCTTTGCCTCCCACTGTGTCTCGGTGCGGCCAGAGCGTTTGCACTGGGGCCCTCCCCGCTTGGGAGCATCTGCCAACGTCCGCAACAGCGCCGCGCATTGCACTGACCGGACCCCAAGCTGATCCCTGTGGCCTTCCAGCAGGGTCCCGGGCCTGCCCTGCCCGTGTGTGCTGGAGAGCAGTGCGCTGACGGCCGGGGGTGCAACCGTGTGAAACTCTGCAGGCCTGGGGCTCTGGTGAGGAGCACGGCAGGGCCGGCCTGGGCAGTCAGGGATGTGCCGGGGCTCCTGGTGCATTCTTGTCAGCTGTGCCTGGAGGAGCTTTGGAAACGCCCCGACGGAGCCTGGCAAACCCGCCTGCCGGCTGAGCCCTGCTCAGAGGCCGGGGGAGAC